TGGCCCTCATATATGGGATCCGAAAAGGGGCCCTCTGGCATCCCAAGCCAGTTCCCAACCATCGCGCCACTCGGCCAGCCCGATTTTTGTTCTTTATATAAATAAATGACCTTTGAAAAACATAGGCAAAATACGTCGTGACTTTTCTGACAACCCAATAATTCATATCCCATCCAAATACAAAAAACACCGATTTCCCACCAAAGTCTCGTATCATTACACAGGAGACTCAGAGTCCAGAATTGCATCTCTAAATCAGGTCTGAATGTGGAGGAAGCTCTTCCAGTGCATCACCTCAGGGACAGCTCCCTTGATTCAGAGACCTGTGGATTTAAAAGCATGTTGTCGGCCCCCTCCAACATTCCCAGTTTTGTAATGGAGAGACAAGGACAGGAAGACCACAATAAGTCATCAAAAGGGGCAGGAAAAAGAGGCACGTGACAGTCACCAGTGCCTAACATTTCTGAAATCCAGCTAAGTAACGAACAGCCAAGTTCCTCTTCTCTGGGCCAGAGATTATTCCTTGATTAGGGCCTAAATCTGGTCTCTGGGAGTGGCTGTATTCTCAGGGCGCCCCAACTCAGGGTTCTTGATGCTACCCTCCAAGGTGTTGGGAAGAGAGGAAAACAGGGTTAGTTAGAAAGACACGCTGGCCTACAGTGCTGTCTCAACAAAGCCTTCAGCTGACCCCATGAGTCACTCTGAAGCTGGAACGGCCCCTAAGAATTCTAAGTTGCTGTAGAGGGCCTAAGACTTTACACTCTCATCTCTCAGTCTTGGATGCAGGCTTTAGAAAGGGTGCATGACCTTGTGTGAGATGACTTTTCATATAAGGATACTTTCTAGAGAAGGCTGACAGCTAACATTGCCAGCATCTGGGCATATAATTCCTTTAGCACTCATGGGAGACCACAGGAGCCCATCACAACATTGTTACATCGCTGTGCCTCAGTATGATGCTGCCTGTCCTAACAACACTCAAGTGTTCAAGGTTATGGGAATGAGATGCTATGCATACACTTATGGGCCTAGAGACACCTTTATTTTTTAATGTGAAGGGGATTAGACTCAAACTTTGTGATATTGGTGAAGAAAATAGGACATAGTAAGTAAATACCACTCCCATTAAAAAATAATTATGAAAATTCAATTTAGTGTTTATTTCCTGAAAGATTGTTACTAATTTTATTGTATACCTTACAATCAATGGTATCTTAGAATCAAGAAATTATGGTACAGTGTTATCTGTTATACTCCATGATCTTTTCCAGATTTTGCTACTTCCTGCCTTTCTACAACCTTTACTGTAAATGCTTTGAAAGTGACATAGATGATTATTAAAATAAAAGCCTAGGAGGCCACTCTGAAAAACAGTTCAACAGTTTCTTTTAAGGTTAAATATAGATTTATAATACTATCCAACCCAGCAATTACATTCCTGCAGTGTGATTTTTAAAATTTATCCTAGAGAAATGAAAAAACATGTCCACACAAAACCTGCATATGCATGTTCAGAGCTACTTATTTGTAATAACCCCAAACTAGAAAAAATTCAAATGTTCTTCAGTGCGTGAGAGGACAAACAAACTATTGGATTGCCGGAAAAGTCATGACGCATTTTTGCAACGAAAAACAGAAAAATATATCATGACCTTTCTGACAACCCAATAGTACATCCATATGAGGGAATACTACTCAGCGGTAACTATTGATCTAAACAACTTGCATGAAAAAAGTTTACTTGAGTGAAAAAAATCTCAGAAGATTATGTATTATGGGATTCCATTTATATGATACTCTTGAAATGACAAAATTATTGTAATGTAAAACACATTAGTGGTTGCTAGGAGTTTGGATTGGGGATAGGATGTGATTATAAAGGAATAGCACAAGGGATTATAAAAGGATAACATCATGGTGTAACAGTTCTGTATTCCGCTTTTAGTGGTGGTTACATTAATCTATATATACAAAGTCTGACAAGTTCGTAAACTTGTTGCAGTGATGTTGCTAACCTTTTTTGATATCAAAGGGATTATTTATTATGAATGTGTACCAACTGGACAAACAGTTAACCAAGTTTATTACTTGGAAGTGCTGAAAAGGCTGCGTGAAAATGGTAGATGACCTGAACTTTTCTCCAATTCCTGGCTCTTGCATCATAAGAATGCATCAGCTCACATGGCACTGTCTGTGAAGGATTTTTTAGCCAGTAAACAAATAACTGTATTGGAACACCCTCCCTACTCACCTGATCTGGTCCCCAATGACTTTCTTTACCCGAAGATAAAGGAAATATTGAAAGGAAGACATTTTGATGGCATTCAGGACATTAAGGGTAATACAATGACAGCTCTGATGGCCATTCCAGAAAAAGAGTTCCAAAATTGCTTTGAAGGGTGGACTAGGCACTGGCTTCAGTACATTATCTTTTCATGGGGAGTACTTCGAAGGTGACCATAGTGATATTTAGTAATGAGGTATGTAGCACTTTTTCTAGGACGAGTTCACGAACTTATTGTCTGACTTCGTATGATAAAATTTCCACAGTACACACATACAAAAAAATCACATATAAAAACTAGTGAAATCTAAATAGCATCATACCAATGTTGAACCCCTGGTTTTGCTAATGTACTGTGGCCATGTGTAAGATTGTGTAAGACCGTGTAAGACATGTAGGACTGTGTAAGATGTGTAAGACTGTGAGATGTGTAATATTTTATAACATGTATAAGACTGTATGAGATACTTAAGACTGTGTGAGATGTGTAAGGTTGTGAGAGATATGTAAGATTGTGTAAGATGTGTAAGTACGTAAGATTGTGTACGATGCATAAGATATTGTCATTGGGAAAGCTGGGTGAGAGGTCCGTGGGAATGCGCTGTTAAGAATTATGCAGTTTGTGACCCTGTGTGTTTTTTGCACTGTACACAATGCTGTGTTAAAAGTACTGATGTATTTAGCTATTCTGTTTGTTTATGCATTCTTACATGTGAAAATTTTTATTTTTATAATTAGATTCCCAAAAGTGGGTTTCTTGGTCAATGGGAATATTACAGATTCTTTCTCAAGAAGACTGGTCTAGTTCACATCAGCGATATTTAGCACTCACTTTGGCTTCTCCAGTCCTGGGAATATTGTTTCGTTTAATTCTGGCCAATCCATTGATAATCATTATGATTATTCAAATTTGTTTTTGCCTGACTCCCAATTTGAGTATATTTTTATGTGTGTTTGCCCTTTGCTTGTTCTATGTTGCATTTTGCATGTTCCTTGTTTATATCTTTTCCCTCATTTTCTTTTTTTGATTTTTAGCAACTCTTTGTGTATTAGGAAAATTCTTTTCCAATGTGGCATTTGTCTCTTGTTTGTAACATCTCTGTCACATAAATTTTGTTGTACTTAAAAATGGCTTTTCCCTTAAGGCTGTTAGGTTTTTTCCTGTCTTACTTAAATAAGAGTTTATTACTCCAAATTATTGATGCTGTCCTAGATTTGCTTCAGATACTTTTATTGTTTTATGACCCTAATACTTGTTTTTTATATGGTATGAAGTTGGGAAGTGTATGTGCTTTTTTCCCCCAGCTAGATAGCTAGCTATGACAATAGCATTATTTAAATACCTGAATACTATGTTTTTGACCTAGATTTGGACTTGTTTTTGAACTCTTTATTCTGTTCTTCTGTGAGGCGACCCAAGCGCCAAACCAGCGCTCCTGACTCGTCAGCCAGGAGCGCACCTGGGAGGATTGGGTGGGAGACAAAGAAAGAAAAAGACAGAGACAAAAGCTGGGAACAGGAGGGACTAATGGCAGACTGAGACCTTGTTTATTGGATATACATTGGTTATATAGGAAACAGTTTTTCTTATCAGGGAGCAGTTCCCTTATCAGCAGGGGATTTGGGGACCTTGAGGGAGTAGTTCCCTCCTATCAGGGAACAGTTCCTTTGGAAGCAATCTTTCCGATGTGGAACAGAACAAAGTATAACAAGTAGAAACTGTTAACAGGATGGAACAAAGTATACCAAGTAGAAACTGTTAACAGGATGACTATCCACTCTGTAACTTCTAAGGTTGTCTGTGACATTAGCTGCTCTTCCTCCGGAGCACAGTGGAGATGAGTCAGCAACCTTCCCACCCTGCTCCCCAACGCCTAAGAGACTATCAGCTTGCTAGCTGTCAGGCTTAACCGTTACTGTAGTTCTGGTCTGTAATTTTTAAGCTGCTTTTGAGCTGCTCACCCTAACATGGAGGCCTGTAGCTTGCCAGCTTACAACCTCAGTGTCCCTGGCTGATCCCAGCTGGCTCCCCACACTTCTGGACTGTTGGTATGTTGTGGTGTCAATACTAAAATGTTTTGGTTACAGTAGCTTTATAAAAAAATGATAGGATCTGCTAAGACAAGTCCCCAGTTACTTTTGCAATTTACACCTTCCATACGAACACTCAAATCATTTGGTCCTTTAAGAATATATTAAACCATTGCAATTCTGATTGGAATAATGTTAAAAGTAAGATAATTTGGAAAGATGAACATTTCTATACCATTGCAGAATTTGTAAGGTAAGAGATTAATGCATAGTGAATTATGATAAATTATAATAATTATGATAAACACATTTAAAATTCTATTCTCTGCTGTTCTTATCCACACTTTAGTGACTACTGTTGGTGTAATAGGTTCAGAGGAATTTTCAGTGGCAAGCAATATTCTAGCAATATTCAAATTCTTTGAAACAATGAATAATAGTATATCAGTTTTTCATGTAATAAAATGGAAAAGAGTTCCATTAGTTAAGATTTTTGTTTTTCAAGAACATAATTCTGTATACTGAGGGAAAGGATTTATTGTATTGGGTTGTCAGAAAAGTCATGACACATTTTTGCAATGAAAAACATAGAAAAAATACATCATGACTTTTCCTACAACCCAATATATGTTGAAATTACAGAATTTTTATAATTTTAACCCCGCTCTTCAATCTTTACATTCAGAAGCTATTGTTGGAAGCCATGGAAGCATGTAACCACGCCCTCAAAAAAGAAGAAAGGAAAAGAAACCAACACAGTGAGTGCTTGATGTGCTGGTATGATAGAGACACAGAGTTCACCTACCCCTCTCCATGGCCAGAAAAGTTCCCTGCCATAGGACGGTGTTGCACAAGGTAATGTTATTTGGTAATTTTTCAACAACAACAAAGAGTACCCCGCCCCCCCCCCAAAAAAAAAAAGAAAGAAAAAGCTTTTGAATATCTATTTAGAGAATTCACAAATACTTTATGGCAGTTATAGTCAACATAATGAGTTACATCCTACTTGCCAAAGACCATAACCTCGCTTTCACAATTGTATCTCTAGTTCTCTGCTTTGGTCAGATTTTGCCTGTCTCTTTCCATCTTCTGCTAAAGTTGTGTTTTTATTTTTGCTCTTTAATGCATATCTGTATTATCCCTCAAAAATTTGCGTGACTTTTTATTTCCATTTCCAATGTCTGCTCCCGGCATTATTTGACATTCTATAACTGCCTCTTACATTCCTCAGCCATCCAACTAGAAAGAAGAAAAAAACGAATGAAAGAGCTTCTCTATTTTCTTGCCTTAAACCCATTTCTTCTTTGTCTTGCTCATTAAAATGCCTTCCTTGTTTTTCTCTTCTCTCATCTTCCCTGCAAATAATCTATTCAGGTGACAATTGAGTTTCAGATGAAGTAAACATCTCTGTTATTATTTTGCCTTATTTAAAGCAAAGTAAAAGATAAAATAGACATTATAAAATGTTTATTTTCCATTCTGGGTTTTGGAACATGGAGGATATGGCAATTTATTTATTTATTTATTTATTTATTTATTTATTATTTTTTAATTAACTTTTTTTTAATTGGGGAATTGGGGGAGGGGAACAGTGTTGGGTAATTGGAGAGGGGGACCAGCCAACTTGTTGTTCTTCAGTCTTAGTTGTGGAGGGCACTAGTCACCATCTGGCTGCCCATTGGCAGCTCGTGGCCTCTAAGCTCAAGGTGCTGTGTTACAGTCTTAGTTGTGGGTGGGCGTAGCCACCATCCCATGCGGGAGTTTGAACCAACAGCCTTGTTGTTAAGAGTGCTCGCTGTATCCACTGAGCCATCTAGGCAGCAGCTCAGCTCAAGGTGCCGAGTTCAGTCTTAGTTGCGGGTGGGCATAGCCCACCATCGAACAGGCAGTCTTGTTTTTAGAAGCACATGCTCTCACCAGCTGAGCCATCCTGTCACCTGTTGGCAGCTCAGCAGTAGCTGAGCTGAGGCGCAGCATCACTGGCCTATTTGGGAATTGAACCTGCAGCCCCGTTGCCCAGAGCTCGCCCTGTTAACCAACTGAGTCACTTGGCTGACCCCTATATGGCTATTTATAATACGTATATTTTATGTGTTCCTTTATTTTTAAAATTAATTATGTATGTATTTGTTTATTTGTGCATTTTTAATAAATAAGGAATACTTCCATTCAGTAACCTGCAGGCATGGTTGTGTCTGGACCAATAGCAACAGAGAATCTGGTTATATTTTCTTTGTCTTTAAGGATGAATTGTCACTGTCTTGTTTAGAAGCAAAGATGACTCTTGCAAAATATTCAAAGGAATGCTGAAAAACTGTGATTGCTTCTAATGTGTAAATTTTAAATTAAATACCTTGATTTATTTTTTAGGTATCAAATAATATCATTAGATGCTTGGCGTGTAGACATAAGCAAGAACAAGATAACCAGGGTTGACCAGAAGGCATTATATTTCTGTGGATTTCCTACTCTGAAACACATCAAGCACAAAGTCAGTGGCTGTTTAGTTCAGAATTTTTTTACTTTATTGAATGTGAAGTGATTACGGAGAAAGAATTAAAGCTAAATTCTCTGAATTCTTTTAAAGTTTTTTTTGAAGAAAAGTGGGGTTCAAGTATTCCAGCAAAGCAGTCGTGGAGAAAACATGATGTTGGAAATCTTAGTGAATACAGAATCAGATGAACTTGTAAGTATTTTCTTTATTATATATTTATTAGGTGCTTATTTTGCACAAAACCGCCCTAGCTGCAACCTGTTTACCAAAGAGATTTAACATTTAACTCCATAAGTTCACAGTAAATAAGGATGCAGTAAAGAAACATTTACACAAATTAAAGGACATGTATAATTGTGACATAATGAGCAAAAAATGCTCCAGGAATTTTGAAAAGGAAATGAACTGTGTAAGCAAAGTACAGACCTATAGAAGAGAATAGGCTTGAACTGGGTGCCAAAAAAATAGAGTGTCACAAAGAGGAGGAAAGGCAGGGAAACGTATTCTAATTTAAAGGAATAACATGAGCGGCAGTTATGGTAAAAAATAAATGTGATACATTATCTTACTCTTTTTAACCTTTTTGTATGTCTGAAATTTTTCTTAATACTTTTTTTTTTGGAATAATGTGATTTATTTCAGAAAGAAATCTGACTCAAGCAGAGGATTGGTATTGGGAAATAGTGGGAGATAAGGTTGAAAAGAATAGAGAGATTATGGAGGATCTTCCATACCAAGCTAAGGAATTTGGCCTTTTTTTCCATGACTTATTCTGAAGCCTATATTTTCATAAAGACTAATTTGGTGGCGATATAATGGACTAATTGCATAAAAGAGAAATGGAAGAAAATGGAAATGCCTGCAAGTCCAGCGGTTGTGGTTGTAGAAGCGTTAGGTAATAAGGGAATAAACCAGAAGTGGTAATAGATCTGGATGACCCAGACTAAACATAATTGACATTTCATCAGTTGTTCAAATCTAGATGAAAAGAGGAAGAAAATATTAAATATGACTCTCAGGTGTCCCAGCTAATTAACTAGAACGTAATTGCCATTTCCTGGAATAAAGAAGTTAAAATGGGAGAGTCCCCGATTTGAGGGGATTCATGATAAATAATGATGGAATTTTAAAATTGTGCTAGATTTTTAACTGGCACTGCCCTGCCAGTTTTTCTCAACAAGGGTTACACAGAGGTGTAGGCCCTAGTGCCCTACGTCACCCATTTGTATATAATGGATTAACTTACTTCTATACTTTTAAATGGTACTTCTTATGTACCAGCCTTGGGAAGATTAAGAAAGTAGTCAAAATGTTTTTAGTGTTCTGTGATTTAGATGGAAAACCTCAGTTGAAATAGGCTGCTTATATTGTAATTTAATATCTGGAGCTAGAGCTGAGAAAGAAATAGGTATATACAAGTCATCAGCAAAGAGGTGATGGCTGAGACCTCGGGGCTCATTTACCTGAAGAAAGAACTCTGAAGTTCAAGGTCTTAGTATGAAGAAATAAATACCCACAGTTATAAAGGGTGGGAAAGGAATAGTAAAGTGGCATAGTGTTCAGAGAGGTGAGAGAGAATGATTCCCAACTTCAGTAGTATCACAGAAGCATGGAGTAGTTCAAGAGCAGAAATGGAAAGTCTGTGGATTTGTCCGTTAGGCTGCCATCAGTGTTGGCCTTTGCAAAGTCCATTCCAATAGGTTGGTGGAGGCTGACGTCTGGGAGGATTAGTCTGGGAGTATGTGGATGGAAAGTGGCAGTAGCAGATATTAATTCACTGGTTAAGAAATTTATCATTTAAAAGAAGGCTGGAAACAAAACTGTAGGTGAAGAGGCAGCTTATCAAACAAAATGTCTACCGAGGACGAGAGGTAGGGCTGCTGAAAAAGGTGGTCTTAAAGGCACTGCAGAGGAAAGGGAGGTTTATGATAACAAGACCCCATGTGATGTAATGAGGGGTTTCATCTAGGGCTTAAATGAAATGATTCATCTGGAAAGAAGAGCAACTTTTCCTTCAAAACCTAAAGGAAAGACTGCGAGAATGAAATTAGAAATAGATGTATAGATAAAAGGGAAAGGAATAATTAATAAGGCTAGTTCTAATATTGAAACTTGTTTTATTTATCAGAATAGTCGTTGTTTGGTTTTGTATGTTTGCATTAATAAATGTATAAATATAATAAATAAAATTAAAAGTTACCCCCTAAAAGTCTAAAAATGATCACCTCTAATTGTTAAAGAAATATTTGCTAATAATGATAAAACATAATAAACACAAAAAAAGTGAATGAAACTTTGTATGTAAACTTCATTTTCTACCACAAAGTTGTTGTCTTACTGATAGTAATAAGAATAATATTTCCTTTTAAAACTATAATTTTACTTAAATATTATTTCATACAGAATGTTTCTACAGCATTTTATAGTTTACAAAAGCTTTTGTGTATGTTATTTTATTTTATTCTCAAACATTGTGAGGTAGATGTTATTCCTTATTCTCATAAAAGAAAACTGAGACTCAATGGGATTAAATATTTGCCTAAGATTCTATAGCTAAAAAGAGTAGAACCCAAACTTGGACCCATTATTCCTAACTTAAAGGCTAGTGTTCCTGTATCATTGTAGCAACCACAAAGTGAAAAGAAATCAAGATTTCTTAGATTCTGTTTTACATTATCTGACTATTTGATATTAAACAATAAATAATAATAGCCCTTTTCTAGTTATTTCTGCTGTTCTTTTTTTGTCAATTTCCATAAGAAAAATAAGCAAAATAATCATGAAAATAATGGAACCATAGAGTTTTACAACTGGATGGAATTCTGTAAAACAACTAATCCAACTCATTAATTTTACAAATTAAAAAACTTAAATGGAGATTGAGACAGGGACATTCCACTCAGCTAGTTGGCAGCAGAACTAAGAACTTACGTACGTTTTTGGCTAAACATTGTTTCTGCTAATGTTGGCTGTTATGGATGGTGATACATAATAGGTCAGTGCTCTTCTGTTTGATTTTATTGAAACTTATTTTCTTACCAAGTAATTTCATTCAGAATTAAAATCAGTGGGCTACTCTTTACTAATAATTGCCAGTGCTGTTAACAAAATGAGGAAACAAGCCTCCTAGTGTCATGATGTTTATACTGCAAAAAAGCAATTTAAGTTGGCTATACTGCCTCTCTAATAAAAAGAAGTTGGCAGAGAGGAAGGTAAACTTGGGCAACTTTCACAGATTTGTACTAAATTAAAGGGTAAAGAAAGACATATAAGTAAAGCAACTGAAAAATATTTTTTTCAAAAAGGAAAGGAAAAATATTAAAACTCTAAAAAAAAGAAAAAAGAAAAGAAATCCTAGAAAATACAGTAGAAAGAAAAAGAGAAGTTAGCAATTAGGGTACAAGTTAGAGAAGAGAAATTAAGAAAGCACACTGAACTTGAGTGGGTGGAATGATTAAGTTGGAGTAAAGTTGAGAAGAACAGCAAAACCAAGAACTATAGGGAATAAGGTATTAAAGGGAATAATTGGTTCAAGTGAGCAAATGATGTATCTGTTTTAATTACTAATGTGGGTTTTTTTTATAGATTTTAAATATATAGTTATAAGCACAAGCCAGTTTTCAATTATTTAATTTTGCCTCGAAAATTTTCTCTTGGACCTACCTGAAACATGAATGAACTTGTCTGCTTTTGCTTTAAGAGTATAGAAACTGTAGCTTCATCAGTGCTTGGAAAGTCTATCTTTGTTAATTGGCCTCATCTTGAAGAAGCTAGAGTTGTTGGTGTATCAGATGGAGAAACCAAGTAAGGTTTGATTTATCATTTTTAAAAATTTATATTTGCTTTGCTACTTGATGGCTTTTATTGATACATTTTTAACTGATATAATTATTATAAAAATATTTATACTCTATAGTGAAAATGAAAGTCCTCCTATCATACCAGTTGAAGTTCAACCACTATTGACAGTTTATTGTATATATCCTTTGAGATATTTTAGATGCATATATTTTTTTCCCTTTTGCTTCTTTTCATTTTAATAGCTTAGAAATTCTATATCCTAATTCTTTTCTACCAGTTATCATTATATTATTTAGCAGACATTTCTCTTAATGATAAGAATAAATAGCATATATATTACCTTTACCATGCCCTTCCCAGACTTCATTTAAATAATAAATTAAATTTTTAAAACATCTTTTTTAAAAATAATTTTTAAACATTTCATTCAAGTTCATAATTTATCAGTGATTATTTAAACAAGTTATTCTTTGTCATCTTTTATCTTTATTTCATGTAAACTTGGTCAGATTTCTTGTTCTTTTGTCATTTTCACGTGTCTAGAATTTTCAAAAGTAGTTTTTTTCAGAGAAAATGAGGGGATGTTATGTTTTCTGAGTTATTATATGTCCAAAAGACCTTTTTTTGTTTTCCTCACACATGTTTGGAATTTTTGAGGCCCAATTATTTTTCCTCAGATATCTGCAAACCTATTGTTTTTTAAATTATATAATATTTTGCAATATTAAGAGACAAACAAATTGGTGTTATTTTACTGGAGAATTTGTAAATTATTTTATTAAAAATTATTTTAAAAGGTAAAATTCTTCCTTTTTTATTATATTGACCAACAATTTATTATATTGACCAGCACTTAAAGTAACATATTCTTTTGCTCACTATTCATATTTTCAGTTTTCAAATGCACACAGGAAAGTCTTTAAGCATTTTTTTTTTCAGGTTACTTTAGATTTTGTTTTTTTATTAAATGTATTGGGGTGACATTGGTTAGTAAAATTATATAGGTTTCAAGTGTATAATACATCATCTATAATACATCATCTATTGGGTCGTTGGGAAAGTCATGATGCATTTTTGCATTGAAAAACATAGAAAAATACGTCATGACTTTCCCAGCAACCCAATATATATCACTTTGTGTGATCACCACCCTGAGTCAGTTCTCCTTCCATCACCATATATTTGCAGGGGGTCAAATATCAGCAAATATATCTTAATTGTGTTCTGTCATGTAATTTTCTTGATGAGAAGTCGATGCCAGCATGAAGTTTTTTTCTTTCATGTGGGTATCTGCTTTTCTGTATGAAATCATGAGGATTCTTTTTTAATCATCAGAATTCAGCCCCAGTGCTTTTTTGATGAAGTCCATTTTATCAGTGTTTTCTTTGATTAATCATGCTTTTGGTCTATGAACTCTTCACCTAGCCCAAGGTCCCTAAGATTTTCTCCAGTGTTCTCTTCAGAAAATTTTACAGTTTTACCCCCTCCTTTGACATTTAAAGTCATGATCCATTGTGAATTAGTTTGTATGAGTATGAAGTTTAGATCAAGGTTCATATATTTGCCTGTGAATATTCAGTTGCTCCAGCACCATTTGTTGAAAAGGTGATCCTTTCTTCATTAGGTTGCTTTTGCACATTTGTCAGAAATCAGTTGAGCACATGTGTGTGGGTTTCCTTCCGATCTCTCCATTCTGTTCCTTTGATCTGTGTGTCTCTTTTTATGCCAGCACCACACTGTCTTGTTACTGTAGCTATGTACAAAGTCTGAGATTTAGGCAGAGTGATTCCTTCCACCTTATTTTTATTTTTCAGAATTACTTTAGCTATTTTTGGTTCTTTGCATTTGTGTATAAATGTAAGGATAAATTGTTCTATATCTACAAAAATAATGGAGAGATTTGATAGGAATTGTATTAAACCTATAGATTAATTTGTGGAGATTTGACATCTTTACTATGTTGAATCTTATGATTCAAATGGATCTATTCATCAGTGTTTTGATTTTTTAGCATACAGATCCTGTTCATGTTTTGTTAGGTTTATACCTAAGTATTTAAATTATTTTGGAGCAACTACACATGGTATAATGTTTTAAATTCCAGTTTCCCCAGTTGATTTTATGTCCTAGGTCATGGCTGTACTTACTTCCCTGCCTTTTCCCTTGAAGAGTCCAAACCAGTTATTTTGTAGAATTCTTGATTTATCTGGTGTCATTTAAGCTGTTGTCAGTTTCCTGTTTGTGTCATTTAAGTTGGTCCTCCATCCCACATGTTTCCTGTAAATTGGGGTTAGGTATAGTGCCTTGTAGAATCAAGATAAACTTTTTTATCAAAACTATTTTATTGAATTAGAGCATAGTTTTTAATCTTTATATTTTTGTTATGTATTTAGTTTAGTTTCTTAAAAGAGAATTTTGATTGAAATATTTTAAAAGATTTTGTTCTGAAATTTATATTAGTTTTTAAAAAGGAGGCTTTTTTTTTTTTTTTTTTTTTTTGCTATTATACCATGTAGAAACCTTTTCACTCTGAAGACTTACACTGCTAGAACTATATTAAACCACAAATTTTGGGGTAATATATATTTTAAGGTTTTACTTGGAAGAACCTCCAGGAACACAGAAGCTTTATCTGGGAAGAATGGCTCCACCAACTAAAGTTTTTCGTCTTGGAGACAAAGAACAATCTAACTGGACAAAAGAAGTACAAGGAATTTCAGAATAGTGAGTGTCATAAAAAGTATTTAATATCATAGAACTGAAATGTGATTTAATGCACATGTCCTGTAACTTATTTTTCGCTTAACATAGTAATTGTTCTGAATACTGACTACATCTTCATTTCATGTTCTAAAGAAAGTAATGAGTCCTAGTTTAAAATAATATTTGGTTAGCAGCAGTTAGAGCCTTTCCCACTTCATCACTAAAATACTTCATGATGTACCAAAAAAAAATAATAATGAAAGAAAGAAAACAAAAAAAATGACACTATCACTTAATACTGGGAATAACAGTTAATAGGTTGTTGCCTGAATTTGAGAGTTATTTTTACTAACCATAAAGCCATTGACTTTCTAGGCCACATGTAAGTAATGAAAATAGGAAGGAAGCCTGTCCTTTGTTTTTCCCTCTTCTCCTTCCCTCTGTACATCCAAGCCCAGATGCCACTGAATTAAGAAATTCAAGGTCTACCAACCAGATAACTAAGAAACTGACCCTCCTCAGAATGCTGATTTTCAGGATCACCAGAGTGCTTTGTGTCTCATGATCCCACCCTAACAACACCTCTCTTTCTTCATCCAAACACTAGGGTTTCCTAAACCAAAACAGAATAATAGAGACTAACAGAGTGGCACATGAGATGGTGTTATAAATGTATATCCGTCAACCTTCCTGTTTAAACTGTAATAGCATCCACTGAGAAATGAGGAATTCAAGGAGATACCTCTTCTTCAATTTTGGAGCGAATACCAGGCTATAATATCCTTATTCAGATATGAGTAAACAAGAAAAATCTAAAAAGATCATAAAAGACCATCTGCCATAACAGAAGGAGATGAATATACCTCTCAGGAGGTAGAGGCGAGCATATTTGTGCCTCCCAACAGTGTAAGTCAGATGCCCTGTTATAGCTCATATCATTCTGATCTTTCTTCTATAGCACGTTAATAAAACCATCATAATAAATGAATGTGTTTGATTACTTTAATAACTCTTTCCTTAAATAGTATGCTTTTTGAGCGTAGCGAACACATCTGTTTTTGTTACCACTCTTCTCATTTCTAGTGCCTCAGCACTCAGTAAATATTTGAATGAAATAGAGATTGTTTTAGTTAAGACTCTTTTAATTGAAAAAAAAATCAAAATACTATGAGTTTAGTCATTTGTTCATATATATTAAACAATTATTGATACCTGCTAGGCACAGTAGTTGGCACTTAGATAACATAGTGAATAATAACCAACAGTCCCTTCACTCATGAAACTTATGGCTGGTAAATGGGAGATGGACGTTGATGTCTTGTGTGATTTTTTTTATCAAACTGCAACTACAGTAATTGCTCTGAAGGAGTAGTGCTGTGAGACCATATAATAGAGGGGTTTGACCTAGCTAGGGAGGAATTTGCCTTAGTCAGAGAAAACTTGCCTGAGGAAATGTTGACTAAGCTGGTACCTGAATATGAAGTAAGAGTTAGGCAAAATGTAAAAACGAGGCTTGTTTCAGGATGAGGGAAGAGCTAGTTACATGCAAAGTCCCTGGAGCACGAGGAAAATCAGTATATATAGTACTGATGAGTGGCCACTGTGGCTGGAGTGTTGGAACTATGAAGAAATCCTATTGAGGAAGATGAGGCAACCAAGGAAAAAGAAAGAGGCAAGCCGAGAGGTAAAAGGAAAGCCGGGAGATTTCCATGTTACATCAAGTAAATAAAAGAAAAAGTGTTTTAGGAATAAGGGAATGAGCCATGTAAAATGTTATGAAGAGGTTAAGCAAGAGCCATTTGGATTGAGCAGTGGGTCTGAAAGCCAGCATGGTATGGGCGGAACAGAAATGGAGACACAGTAGGAACAGACAACTTCTCAGAAGCTTAGCTGAGGAGGAGACCAAATGCTCCTGCTCTTGACCCCGTATCCTGCATATTCTTTCTCATCTGGATGGGCTTGGTCTGTGATGGCAGCAAAATGCAGAGAGAACGGTCAAGGCAGTGCAGTGCTGGAGCTGACAGCAGTGTTTGCTGGTTTACACAGAAAATGGTTTCTAGCACCTGCTGTCTAGCGTCCCTTGTTTAATCTTGTCAACCAAGAAGAGTAGACTCATGAGCACTCAGGGTTATTTATTACAGTCACCATTCTGTTTATCACCGTATTCCTCCCTCATATCATCTCACGTTTTGTTCCCTCCTTCCACTCCTCCCAAGGTGTTCTGAAATCTGTCTTCCAAGGTGAAATTCACAGGACCTCTGTTGCTCTGACCCCAAAGGTTTATTCACCTGTCTATGATTTTGCGCATTATGTCAGTAGAATGAGGTGATGACCCTGTGGCTATAATGAGTAAGAGTAATGCTTGTGCAGACCATTCTCAGCTCTAAGACTTCTATAGCAAGAATGTGGAATCGATTACTTACCTCATATCCCTGTATCTTATTAACCAGACATGTTCTCCTAAATTTGGTATATGCTTTTGCTATGAATATAACACATGAAATACGAATATATGAGTATCAAAATATGTGATTTTATTTTTAGGAACCCTCTAACTGTGCACATATGATATGCCTGATACAGTTCTGTATTCCTGTGTAATGGCTTTCCTTTCTGATGAAAACTACAATTAAGAGATAGCTGAATAAGATATAAAATTGAGTGGAGTTGGTTTTGGGTTTATTCAGGGAGATTTGATCATGTGTAAAAACAAATAAGAAGTGCAATATTCAAAAGAGAGAAAACAATAACATTTTTAGATGGAATGAGATGGATTCTTAAAGAAGCTGAAGGATGGCTTACCTATTTTAACCAGATGGGATACAGCTGTAGTTGGCTTATGTGTTTGGCATGGGGAAGATGAGAAGCTCTCATCCATTGACTTCTGTTTTCTTTCTAAACTAGTTGTTGAATTTAGCTATTGAGGATGGTGTGGGGGAAAGAGAAGTAATGAAAGTAGAGTGTCAATAGTTTGGGAGAAAGTAGAAGGATCAGTGGACTAGAGATCCCAAATTAAGTTGAGTAAGTGATTGAACAAGCAAGTTGGATGGAAAAGTTTTTAGACAATAAGATGTTTGAGTTAGTGATGTTGGAGTGACACCATTATGGATGATGTTATAGCCAAGGGTATAGATGACTGAAGTGGAATGGAAAAGAAGGTTATTAGAGATTGGGAGGTCGTAGTACTACTGTGGTCTTGGGTAGATCATATAGTTAAACACTGACGTCACAAAAGAGGGTAGTTTCCTGTTAGGGGTTTGGATATCTCACTGGGTGGTAAGGAGAACACCAACACCATCTTAGCCCTGAAGGACACAGTATGAAAACCAACATGAGAGGCCACTACTTGCGAGGTCTACGCAGGTAAGTAGTGGTACCTTCACTTAGGAAGGTGGACTTTGAGGGTATAATGGGGTGAAAAGGTTAGGAATTGAAGAACAGAAAACAGGAAGAAGGGAGCAAGGAAATACTTTATCAGATGTTATGGAGAAGATGACGTACTTAAAGGATAATTTGGAAGAGAGTGCCAAACGCTGTACCTCAAACAAGAAAATAAAAAATAGGGTTATCAAAGGATTGGTGATAAACACTGAAACTATTAAAATATAGAATTAATTTTCAAATACGAATTCTCATTTTAGATATGGTAAAGTTACAAGATAGTTTGTTTATAATTTAGAAATTCAGAGAAGTATGAAGTGTTTTTTAAAATTTAATTCAAAAGTAACCATTAATAGAAATTATAAAGGAATGTTTCTAACTTACAAATGACTGGCAAGAAAAAAAGAAGCGAAAGAAAGAGGATAGAAGATAGAAAAGCTACATAAAACATAGTTTAGGAACCCTAAAAAGATAAATAAAATAAGATGACAGAAACATGACCAAACTAATAATTGTGTCGTTAAATCTAAGTGGCTGTAGCTCCTTAATTAAAATGTAGAAGCACTTAAATTATATCACCAGCATCATTATCCAGCTGTAAACCAGCTACAAGAAGTACACTGAAAACCAAGGTGAGGTCTAAAGTCTAGTAATCTCTCACCCTTTGTAGTTTTCAGAAAGTACAGTTTTATATTTACATTCTGACCATTAAAAAAAATACATGTTTGCTTCTGCTCATTCATTTTCACTAATGATAGTATTACATTGTATGAATACAGCACAATTTATCCATTCTATTGTAGGTGGACGTTTGAGTTGTTCCTCATTTGGGGCTTTTGGTGAATATATCCATTTCTGTTAGATACATATCTAAGAATGGAATTACTGCTTCATAGGATATGCTTAAACTCAGCTTTAGTAGATACCACCAAAAAGATTTGCAAAGTAATCGCATCAATTTACATTCTAACAGCAGTTTATAAGAATTCTTGTTATCCCTACCCTCATCAATAAATATTATTATTGTCTCTTCCATTTTAGCCCTTCTGAGATAGTGGTATCTCATTTTGGTTTAATTTGCATTTCCCTCATGACTGATGAAGTTAAACATCCTTTTATGTTTTCCGGCTATTTGAATATGCTCTTTTTTGAAATGCCTGTTCACTTGTTTTGTCCTTTTTTGATTGAGTTGAGTACCTTTTTCTTATTTGTAATTTTTCTTATTGATTTGTGGTGTCATTCTCAATTTCAGGAAAAAAGCCTTAAGTGGCTCACCATTAAATATCATGATTGATGTAGAGTTTTTTATTTTTTGGTACTCTTTATTAGATTAAGTAATTTTCCTTTCATTCCTACTTGGTTAAGAGTTTTGAATCATTAATTGGTGCTGGTTTATCAATTTTTTTCCTGCATCTGTGAAAATGATCATATCTTCCATTTTTTTCTGTTAATCTAGTGAATTACATTGATTGAATTTCAAATATTGATCTACCCCTGAATTCCTGGAATAAATCCCATTTGGCTGTGATGTATTATCCTTTTTATATATAATTGGATTCAATTTATTAAATTTTGTTTAGGATTTTTATATTTATTTTCATGAGAGAGATTAGCCTGTAATTTCTGTTTTTTGTAATGTCCTTGTCAGCTATTGATAACAAGATTACTGACTTAATAACTTTTTTTTTTTTTTTCTTTAGCTGAGCCATCCTGCCACCCGTTGGCAGCTCAGCTCGGGTTGGGAATCGAATCGGCGACCCTGTTGCTTAGAGCTCACACTCTTGAGTGAGCTCTTAACCAACTGAGCCACTCAGCTGGTCCCCTGACTTAATAACTTTTGGTGAAAGTAGTAGAATAAAATCCTATTCAATTTTTAGAAAATGGTATCAGAATGCTACATTTAAAAAATCTGTGGGAAAACTGTTTCTGGCTTAGATGACATAGCTTATTTCAGACCAACCCTATCAACAAGAACAATACCATATAAGTATAAGCTGCTATGAAAAAAACCATATATATATATATATATATATATATATGTATGTATGTGTGTATATATATACACATATATATAATATATGATTTTATTTAACATATACAATATATAACTATAACATAATATATATAAACATATACACAAATTAAAATTGTGATTGTTACAGTGCGCTCAGTATATAGCATGAATAGTAATATGGGCATACTAAAAATTGAATCAGTGAGCTAAAAGATCAAACTGAAGGATTCCTTTAGCACATACAAAAGCACAGTCAGATGAGAAGAATACAGCCAGAATTTCTAATATCTATCTGATAAGAGTTCTAGAAAGAAAAAATGGAAAGGAGATAAGAAACTCAGATGACAAATGATTGTATCTTTGTATCAGGGGCCAGCAAACTTTTTCTGTAGAGGCCAGAGAGTAAATATTTTAGGCTTTGCAGACCTTACAGTGTTTGTCACAACTGTCAACTCTACTGCTGTTGCACAAAAACACCCAGAGACAGTAAATAAATGAATGATGGCGTTCCAGTACATTTTTATTTACAAGAACAGGAAGCTGTCTGGATTTGGCTCAGGGACACAGTTTGCTGACCCCAACTTTAGATTGAGAGGACCCACTGATTGCCCTGTCAGCCTTTTTCTGTCTCTCTGGATTTACCTATTCTGGATGTTTCATATAATATGTGTCTGGCTTTTTCACTTAGCATGTTTTTGAAATTCACACACACTGTAGTGTGTATCAGTATTTATTTCTTTTTATGGCTGAATATTCCATTGTATGGATAGACCACCTTTTGTTTATCCATTCATCTGTTGGACATTTGGGTTGTTTCCACCTTTTTGCTATCTGAGTAGAGCTTCTTTGAGTATTCATCTATAAATATTTGAGTACCTGTTTCTAGTTTTTTGGGTACATACCTAGAAGTGGAATTTTTGGACTATATGGCAATTCTATGTTTAACTTTTTGAGGAACTGCCAAACTGTTCCCACTGTGGCTGTACCATTTTATGTTCCCACTAGCAAAGTACAGATGTTCCAATTTCTTCACGTCCTTTCCAACATTGTTATTTTCACTTTTTTTGTTATAGCCTTCCTACTGGGTAAGAAACAGGAGTTTCTTACAGCTCTGAGTTCTCATTTAATCTCACAGACATTGGGAGAGGTATGCAGAGTAAAAAAAACTGAGTCAAAAAGTCTTGTTAGGTACTCATAACTGTTAGCATGTTTATTTAAAGTTTAAGCATTTGATTATGATTTGGTAGTTTAGATGATGATTATCATCTTAGAATATATACACACTCATACATATCTACATTTCTTTTTTATTCTTTTAGCTACCTGAGAAGGAAAGGAATAATAATAAATGAAACATCTGCTGTTGTATATGCTCAGTTACTCACAGGTCGTAAATACCAAATAAATCAAAATGGTGAAGTTCATCTAGAGAAACAGTGGTCAAAACAAGTTCTTCCTTTTGTTTATCAAACTATTGTCAAGGTAAGTATCAAGTCTCAATTTTAAATGTACACTTTTTAACACTGTAAAGAAAAGACTACATGTCAATATTTATTTATAAATAGAAGACTAATGCAGCAATGTATAATGGAGATTATTATGTAATATATTTTGCAAAATGTTGTAGTCTTTAAAAAGAGTATTACATGCTCTGACACTTACTCTGTGGTTAGGAACTTGTCTTTTTTATTTATTTTTTGAACCTAGTCTCTAAAAGAAAAATCCCACTATTAACTTAACATCCTTGCATTTTTATATTTTTATTTTCCAAAAAATGTTTGCCTTAAGTAAATCAGTGAATACAAAATGCTGTTGTGTTTGTAATCTTAGATGTAGTATGAAGACAAATTTTTTTTTTTTTTAAGATTTCTTTATTGGGGAATTGGAGGATGGGAACAGCACTGGGGAATTGGGGGAAGGAGAACAGACAAGTTGCTGTCATTTTGTTCTTCAGTCTAGTTGTGGAGGACGTTGCTTCACTGGCCCAAGTTGGCACCATCATTGCGCTCTTCCCGGGCGAGGCAGATCAGTCGCCGGCTTCTGGATGGCCGCTCACTGCGGCTGCTGGCCGCTCACGCTGGCTGCTGGCTACATATGGTAGGGTAGCCCATGGCAACCCACTGCCACAGGGGCTGCAGCTTCAGCCTACTCCATCGCTGGCGACTCCCGGCAGCCCAGCTCCAGGTTGAGCTGTTGTTCAGCATCTTAGCTGTAGAGGGCAGTGTCACTGGCCCTCATATATGGGATCCAAACCAGGGCCCTCTGGCGTCCCAAGCCAGCTCTTAACCAACGCGCCACTTGGCTGGCCCGAAGACAAATTTTTTTAAGGCACGTAGTGATCCTGTAACTTAAGAAAACATTATTGTGTAGTGATTAAGTTGACTTCTTAGCTCTATGACCTTGGACAAGATTCACCCCAATGCTGTGCCTTAGTTTCCTCATCTGGAAAGTGGGGCTAATCATGGTCTCTGCTATAGAGGGTTGTCTTAAGGATTAAATGAACTAATAAATGTGTGAAGTAGCTAGAAGTGTATCAGGCATATAAGAAGTCAATAAATTTTAGCTACTAGTATTGTTATGCAGAAAACCTTTACATGTGACATTTGCAGGCAGCAGTCATAATCTCATAGGAAAAAAGTTTATGTGCAATCTATAGAAGATTTGACTATGATTACTGACTTTTATATTTCATTCTATATAGGACATTCGAGCTTTTGACTCCCGTTTCTCCAATATCAAAACATTGGATGACTTGTTTCCTCCTAGAAGTCTGGTCTTCATGCTGGGAACCCCCTACTATGGCTGTACTGGAGAAGTTAGTTCCTATTACTGTTACTAATTAAATTTTTATTTGGTTTGAAGTTAATACAATTTTTTAACTTACCTTCATGTAGATGCAAAATAAAATACAACACCGAAAGGGAAAAATAAGAAAGAATTCATTCATCTAACTAATGAACATAGTATTTGGCTATATATCTTTAATCTTGAGCAAGTTGGGGTCAGGAGGTGGGGAAAAACTAATTCAAATCCTGATCTCTTTTTTAGTAGTTTGTTTATTGTGGTGTATGGATGAAGCAATTTTATAATTATTTTAAATGTATTATTAGGTTGATGAATTTGTAAATGTGTTGATGTTTTGGGGAACTCCAGTTCTCACATAGAAAAAGGTATATTGAAATATGGAATGGGAGAATGCAAGAAAGAACCTGTGGGGACACATTAGAATTGGAGGTATTAATGTGAACTCGTGATTTTTAAAATACGTATGTATGTGTATATATGTATGTATGGGGTGTGTGTGTGTGTGTGTGTATGCATGCTTATATGCCATACATACACATATTTTGTAGCTCTATTTGTGAAAAAGATAAGCAAAGACTCCCTGGTAGCCGTGAACACATGTAGTGCCCAGACCTTGACTTCTAATAATCCCATGCCCACTAAAGAGAACAGGGCTTCTCAGAGAAATGGCTTATTACAGGGCTGTGCAGGGTAGGTGTCAGATGAGCATGGAGCCTCTTGTTCTGCTAGAAAGTATGGAAGTACTCAAAAGAATGATGGGAACATTTCCCACAAACATAGGAACCGGGCTGAAGGTGCTCCTGCTGGTAAAATCTGGGACAGTTTAAGTATGAAAATAATTAAGTACAGTAATGAATTATAAACCATTGTGTAGGGCAAGATAAGAATTTTTTATTCTATAGTGATAATAAATAGACAAATAAATAGGGCAGGGGTGGGCTCTTATGGTATTATATTAGGGGTAAATGTGCAGAGTGCTGGAGGTGGAAAAACTATCATTTTACAACCATTATGATAAGATTGAATCAGGCTACAATCATCAGTGGAAGCAAATCAAGAGGGAATTTTGGATTAGGATTTGAAATTTTCATGGTCTTAGAAAATGTTTCCCCACAAACTGTTTATTAGCTGTAAGGGAAACAAATAACTGTAATTGTACAGTGAAGACATTGAGCAACATCTTGATGGTATGATCAAAATTAGTATTACAGTGAGGGGCAGATGAATACCGTACACCTACAGATGTGATGCCCTAAGCAGCACACGTGAGTCACCTATGCACTATTCTGGCTCATAATATATACCTTTAACCTAATCACAAGGAAGCCTCAGATAAATCCATGATGAATAACTTTGTTTTTTAAGGCAGCGTGGAGAGGGAAGAATGAACTGTATTCTTAAAAATGTCAATGTTATGAAAGACAAAGAAAAGCTCTGGATAGACTGTAGGTAAAAGGATGCAAAGGAGACATGACAACTAAATGCAATGTCTGATCACAGGCTAGATACCGTAGTAGAGGGAGAAAAGACTTCACTATAATGACATTTTTAGGTCAACTGACAAGACTGGAATATGGACAGTAGTTTAGATAAAAGTATTCTATCAGTGTAAATTTTGTACTTAATAACTGTACTATGATAATATAATAAAATATCCATCTTCTTAAGAAATACACATTGAAATATTTAGGGGTAAGGGACATGGATATATGTAATATACCCTCAAAGAAAAACTGTATATATGTAAATACACATACAGAGCCCAAATGTTAAAGCAAATGGAATAGAATGTTAACAACATTTTACATATGAATCTGGGTAAATGTCTTTCAAGTGTTCCTTGACTTGTTTTTAGTTTGAAACTTTTTTGGTAGTTTAAAATTATTTGCAAATAATGAAAAGTTATTATTATTATTTTTTTATAAAAAAGGCTGGTTAACAGCTATTAAAGCAAGGTACAATGTCTCCAATTTATAATATAATCACATTAACTTACAAATTTCTAGAGACGTTCCACTACCCAACTTTGTTGTCTTACTATATTTCAGAAATAATAAACACTATTCAAATAATTAGAAAAATAAGTAAATAAATGTAGTGAAAGAGACTAAAACATACTGTTAATTTTTTTTTTTCTCTCCACCCCTGAGGTTCAGGATTCAGGGGACGTGATTGCAGAAGGTCGGATCCGTGTGGTTTTCAGCATTCCGTGTGAGCCCAATCTCGATGCTTTAATACAGAACCAGCATGTGAGTACTACAGCCTGTAGTGTTTAGCTTAGAATTGATGAACTTTAAAAATATTACGATATTTTTGCCACCTCCTTTGCATTTATTGCAAATACTTTATTTAATACTGATGAAATTCACTCACAGTTGCATCAAGTATTATTTAAAAATAAGTGTGGAATCTACTCAAAACTTCATGCAGATCTTTGAGGGGGAAAATCACTGACATCCCATTATTAATCAGTAAAAGTAATTATGAGTTGTTATGTACAAGCTTGTAAGCGGCACATTGATTAGCATACTCTCTGGGAATAGACTTAGGTATTTTAACCTTTCATAATTAAAGCCTGAATTTTTAGTTATAAGTGACAAATGACCTTCCTGCAAAGGTTATATGTCTCTACTCAGCTAAAGATGAACAATCTCTAGAGAAAATTGAGAAACTGCTTTCAAGGTCACAGCATGCTTTTTCAGGATGTTTTTCTCCAAATATGTTCACTGGCCATCTTTTACTTTTCCCTGTTAAAATAGCGAGAGGATCCTGATATCTGTTATTTGTTCTTATTGATTGATTTGGATAATTAACTTGACTAAAAATTCACAAGCACCCAGCTATTGCTACTTACACTTTTATTGTATTGTATTTTATTAATTTAATTTTATTTTTTTAAATTGGGAAATTGGGGAAGGGGAACAGTGTTGGGGAATTGGGGAAGGGGAACAGCCACATTGTTTTTTTCAGTCTTATTTGTGGAGGGCGCAGCTAGCTCAGCTCCAAGTCCAGTCGCCATCCGTTAGCCCATTGGTGGCTTGCTGTCACTCAGCACAAGATGCCATGTTCAATCTTAGTTGTGGGTGGGCATAGCCCACCATCCTATGCAGGAGTCTAACCAGAAACCTTGTTGCTAAGAGCGCAATCTCTAACCACAGAGCAATCTGGCTGCCTGTTGGCAACTCAGGGCAGCTTAGCTCAAGGTGCCATGTTTAATCTTAGTTGCGGGTGGGCGTAGTCCACCATCCCATGCGGGAGTTGAGCTGGCAACCTTGTTGTTAGGAGCACGTGCTCTCACCAGCTGAGCCATCCTGCCACCTGTTGGCAGCTCAGTGGCAGCTCAGCTTGGGCACAGCTCACTGACCCATGTGGGAATTGAACCGGCGACACTGTTGTTCAGAGCTTGTGCTCTTCACCAACTGAGCCACTCGGCCGGCCCCCACTTTTATTTTTTCTAATGATAAAATCTAAAGCTTTATATTCTGTGAAATGTGAAATGAATTTAAGGCGTTAGGCATCAGCATACTCATGAGGAAACTTTATGGTAGGCAGAGAAGTCCTAAAATCTTACCATCAGGTTTCTTTTGGAGAAAGAATTCAGAAATCAATCTGGAAACCAGGAGAGGGGCCCATTCTATAAAGAGGTTGGAGCTCTGTTCAGGGAGTCAGTGGAGGTAGAAGAACTTGGATTTCTTCATCCTTGGCTTTGTCTGGATCTGAAAGAGTCTGCATTCTAGTGGACTGTGCTGCTGGGCGTGCCTTCTCCAGGATACGTATTCTTTCTTTACATACCTTCTTTAACTTTTACTCCAGTCTTCTTTCTTTACCTCAATGTTCTCAGCTTTTTATTTTACATTTTCTGGGATATTTGTGTGATTTTAATTAACTTTTAATTATACCACCACCCAAGATTTCTCAAAAGGAGTACTATATAGTTTACATAAATTTAATATATTTATATATTCATTCATATGAAATAGTATATGAAATTCATATAAAATAAGTAAATGTTATTATTAGGTACATTATGTTAGGAGTATATGGTATCTTACCCTGGTTGGTACTGAATTTGTGAGTAATTTGCTTCCTGGTTAAAAATTATATGATTTGATACTTAAAAAAGAAAAAATTTGACAATCTTCATAATTTTTTCCCTTAAGTATACAAATTAAGGTTACATTTCATTGACTGTATTAATTACAAGACTATATGTACTTGTTACTTTCATGTGATAGTAAATATTAGGGGAAACAAGTATTACTTATATGAAGGATACTTTTAATTTTCCTCAATAGCAACTATTTTGATGACATACTCATGTTTTAATTCAATGTAATAATTATCAAGGCCTCATTTTGTCCCCTGTACTTTACTTTACTAAGCCCTACTTAGAATATGAAAATTAATTTTTAACAAAATAATAGTTTTTGCCTGCAGAGTTTGCCATTTAGTACTTACAGTAGAGTTTATTTCTTAAGACAGTTTCACAAATTGTGTATTTCCTCCTCCCTTCACCCTTCCTTGGGAATTCTGTCTTTTAAGGAGGGGGAGGAACAGAAAAATTCTGCCTACAGAGCCTTTCAAAAAAAAGGGGGAACGGATCACTTACTTTTGAGGATTCTTATATTGCCACAAGCCAGTGGTTAGTCGAGTCGGTTATCTCCAGATTTTACAGGTACAAAAATAACATTTAATGCTTTGTATTTCCATAATTGACCTTTTTGTTTTTATATTTAAAGAAATATTCTATAAAGTACAACCCAGGATATGTGTTGGCCAGTCGCCTTGGAGTGAGTGGATACCTTGTTTCAAGGTTTACAGGAAGTATTTTTATTGGAAGAGGATCTAGGAGAAAGTAAGTTTATGTTAAAGAAATTTACTTAAAGTGTCAGAAAAAATTAAATGATAAAGATAAAATGGTCCATATTTCAGTATTTATTTTCTCTTATTAAGTGCTCTTACTTTTCCTTAAGTATTATGCATAAATTCCTCTGATGGTGATCTGTCATCTAAATGGCATATATTTTAGGTGGTTGGAAAGACAGTTCTTATTTTTAGGATAACAAATTGAACCTTGAAAAAAGGTATCAAGGTGTGTGTGAATCTCAATAATATATTTCCCTGCATTTTCTTATTTCATTCTGCTGTCTCATTACATAATTTACATTAATTCTGTTATGCTTCATTAACTTGGGTTTTGAAGCCTTTCCTCTAGTTTTGCTACTTTGGAAATAACCATGATAACTAAAATAGAACAATCAAAACTAAGCTTTCCTAAGAATTGAAAGCGAACCTTTTTTATTCTTTGAACAAAATTTTAAAACTTTTGTGTGTGGTTTAAATTCAGCCCTCATGGAGACCATAAAGCAAATGTGGGTTTGAATCTCAAATTCAACAAAAAAAATGAGGAGGTACCTGGATACACTAAGAAGGTTGGAAGTGAGTGGATGTACTCATCTGCCGCAGAACAGCTTCTTGCAGAGTACCTAGAGAGGTAAGTGCCTAATAAGACCCTGCTGGGCATCCCAAAACATAGGAATATAATGTTAATTCTGCCTTGCTGATATCAGTGTTAGAGAAAAAATGTTTCCTTTACTAAAATGTGGCCTGTGTTACATATAAACTTAATTTTGTGTCATGAAGCCTCATAGCCATTAGCTCAAATAAAGTGAAAAAGTACTGTCCTTATATTATTTAAAATGATAAAGGATGATGAGAATTGGCTTCTTTTTAATTGAAATTTTCCTAAACTTGCTATCATAAATTATTCACTATTCTGCATGTCTGTGTCAGTAGTAAGAGGATTAGTTTGGATAAACCCAACAACTGTTGGCATGGTGGATTTTCCCGAGTCTTAAAATTCCAGCCAGACAGAAGATTACTATCTTAGAATTGAATTTTATTGCTGAAATGGTCTAAGAAATCACAACCAACTCCTCATTATGAAAATAAAAAAACTGAGTACCCAAGTTAACTGAGTTACTTAGTGACAAAGATTTACAGGAAATACCTTTACTTCTGATTTTCAGTTGAATGTTCTTTCCATCGTTCCACTGATTTCTGACCTCATATTTGAGGATCCCTGTATTAGTTTCTTAAGGCTTCCATAACAAAGTACCACAAACGGGGGACTTAAAAGACAGTAATTTGTTATCTCACAGTTCTGGAAACCAGAAGTCCAAAATCAAGGTGTTGGCAGGGCCATACTTCCTGGAAAGGTGCTAGGGAAAGAGCTGTTCCATCCCTCAGTCTTCGCTTCATAGAGCCTCCTGCATTCATCTCTTTACTTGTAGATGCACCACCCCAGTCCTCCATCTTCACATGATGTTCCTCCTGTGTGTCTTCACAACATCTTTCCTCTGTGTGTCTGTCTCCAGGTCCAAGTTTCCCCTTTTTATAAGGACTCTAGTCCTGTTGAATTAGGGTCCACCTTACTGACCTCATTTTAATTTGATTACTTCTATAAAAACCCTATTTTCAAATAAAGTCACATTCTGAGGTACTAGGAGTTAGGACTTCTGTGTTTTGGGGGGAGAAACACAATTCAGTCCCATATTACCATCTGAAAATTTAGATTATTTTTTCCATTGACTTTCATATTTCTTTAAAATGTCATAGTTAGACTACTTTTTCTTGATTTTTCAGTCTTACATGTGCATTGATTTCCTGCCACGAAAGATGAAGTTTTAGCTCTCTTCTACTACCCCCACTCCTTATTTCTTCACCTCCCTATACACATGTACATATTTCCCCCTCACTGTAGTTTCATCACAATTTTTAATTAAATATGTGTTTAATTTATTTGATTAAGATAATGTAAATGGTCACAGGTGGAGCTTGTAGGGTATTATAATTCCATTTCCTTTCTTGTACCATTTTTGTTTTCCCTCTCTTGTTTATTCATTTGTTCACATAACTAACTCGGCTGTAAACTCTGCCATAGGTGGAAAACTTAATATGGTCGAACAGATCAGGTGATCTCAGTTTCATTTTCTTCTTGTAGATGTCTCCCTGAAACCTGTTTTCCTTTCAATGTGAACTAATTGCTGTCTAGGGCTGTTGAACAACTCTGATTCTAGAGTATCCCTTTATTATCATCCCAGGAATTCCCTTCACTCTTCTCCTGTGTAGGATTCCTTTATTTCTTGGCTTACATACCTTACTTTCTTTGGTTTATGTCTCCATTTTGATGGAGCGTTTAAACTCTAGTAGCTTCCTGAGAAAGCTTGCATGTCTGAAAGTGTCTTTATTCTTCCCTAATACTTGACTGATAGCTTGCCTGGATGTTGAATCCTACATTAGAGACTATTTTCCTTGCTCTATTCTCTTGTTTCCTTTGCTGGTGAGAAGTTCTGTGACATTCTGATTCTGAATCTTTGAGTGTGAATTACTTTTATTTTCTGAAATCTTTCTAGAATTTTTTCTTTACCAATGCTGTTTAATAATGTGTGCCTTGATGTGGATCTTTTCTCTTTCCTTTTGCTCTTCAGCCCTTTCAAAGTTGAAACTGATGCCCTTTCATTCTGAGAAACTTTCTTGTATTATTTCTTTTATAATTTCCTCCTCACCATTGTTTCTGTTTTCTTTTCTGGGATTCCAGATGTTCAATGTTAGATCTTTTGGTTTAATCCTCTTAATTTTCTTATCTCTTCTCATCCATTTTCTATATTGTTATACTTCTGTTCTCTGTGGGAGATTTCTTCAATTTCATCTTACATGATTTTAAAATTTCTATTTAATTTAATCACTTTAATTTAAAAGTGTGCCCTTATTCTCTGGAATTCCTTTTTTATAGCATCTTGTTTTTTTAATGAGTGGAATATCATCTTTTATTTTTCTGAATATAGTAATTCTAGATTTTCTTCTTTCTCTATATTTTTTGCTTTCTTCAAATGGTTCTTTTTATCTGTTTGATTTAATCTCTTTTTTCATGTTAAATTTTTTTTTTACCTGTTTGGTGGTTATTTTGTGTCCAATCATATTTAAGAGTGAGGCACTAAAAATTAGAAATTTAGTGTGCTTTAGTAGTGCTTATCAAGTGGGACTTGGCTATTTCTGCAGAGGACCTCCAGATATCACTACCTATATGTATATCTTTCCTTTGAGGCTGGCTAGTTTTCCAAGAGAGGTATCCTCCAGCCTTTCCTTGGAAGACAGATGTGGAGAACAAAACTGACTTCCAGCGTTCTGGAAATTAACCAGGGAAAAGGGGTCTTATCACATGGTAGACACTGTGATACATCCCCACAGATCTCCTTTTCAGGCCTGAAGGATCTGTTCCCTTGGCAACAGGAATGTTGTCAGGAGTTCAGCTGTGAACTCTATTTGGGATTTGTCTGGCAGAAGAGAACTGCTTCACCTAAAGTTATAACCCTTCCCACAACAGCCACAGGTCCAATACCTGATAAACAAAGAGGTGTAAAGGCCAGCCGACGTTGCTCCAGTTCAGGATGAGCCTGAAGGGCCATCCCAGTTTGAGATCTCTGTGGGACTGGCCAAGTGGTTCATTAAGAATAAATCACACATACTTACCTGGCAGGGGAGATACCATGATCATGAAGAATAAATCACAGCCCAATTTCTCCCTGTGCCCAATCTGCTTCCTTCCTTTTCCCTTTCCTTCCACAAGTGTTGATTACACAGAACTCACTAACAAATTTCGTGTATGCTTATCTCCATCTCAGAGTCTGCTTCCTAAAGTGGTTACACTTCCTAGCCTGCTTCCTAGTGACACATTGTATAGTAGTTACACTTGCATTAATCCCCTGTTTCCAGTATGACTTCTGTCCCTCCTCCTCACATCCCATCCACTCACCGAACTAGCTGTGCCTACTATACCGAAGGATGGAACATCCCTGTTAACCTATCCAAAAAATGTAAACTACAGCTCTTATGCTGGAGTGGAAGATGAGTATTCACATGACTGTCTAACTGCTTATTAGAATTTTCAACTAAAAAGCCTATTAAGCCTCACCTCATACTATAGCATTAAAATGTTCCTGGAGACCATAATTCCTGAGCTTTTGCAGATTTCCACAGCTCAAATCATCTTACTTCGTGTTAACTTCCCACACTAGTGGCTTAGGGTGCAGCTTATTTCTGTCAAATCAGTTAACACTTATCCATCCAGTTTCCAGTTTCTAAAATTTTGTTAACAACTCATATATGCATCAGATTTTCTGTTTCTCTCCTCATCTGTCTTTCTAGATTTATGCCCTTTTTTTCTGCTTTACTGTTCTCTTAGTGGGTTGAGAAGGGAACAAAAATATCAAATATATTCAACCTGCTATGTGTATTTGAAAGTCCTGCTCTATAAAGGAAACAATGGCGTTTTGAAGAATATCAGAAGAAACTTGAATTTGCTTTATTGTAGAGTGCTCCAGCTTTGTTGTGAAAATTAGAAAATTTACCTGTAGATACTAGTTTGTCCATTTATCACCTGTCATTATGACCTAAGAGGAATAGAGTCAGTAATTGAAGTTAATAAGTAATTAAAGTTTATTATAGTTTATAAATTGAATCATTTATCCCTCTGCTACTGAGAGTTTTTTGAGGGCCTATGAATACTTCCAAATATTTTAGTCTCTATTCCTTATGAATACCCTGTGTGTAATAATCAGTCCTCAGTATATTTTATGTTCCTTTAGGATCCAAAATTATTTGATAGGAAGCTTATATGAAATTAGCCATTTATGTTTTTTAAAGAAATATTTTGTTTGTTTGTTTGTTTGGCTAGAGCTCCAGAACTATTTTGTTATATAGCCAAAAATAGCCAAGAGGATGTGTTCTATGAAGATGACATTTGGCCTGGAGAAAATGAGAATGGGTAAGCAAAATCTGTGGCATTGGTTGCCTCATAGCTCACCTAGTAGTTCCAGTGAAAGGTGCAATAGTTTATCAAGAACTCATTTTACTTTTGGGGGGAAAGTTTTATATTGTTTTGTTTTTGCTTTAAGATCTTAATACAATTTTTTATTTCATTTATATTAGTAAAGCACTTTTAAACTAATTTTTGTGATTTTTAAAAAATTAGTGAGAAGAAACATCTCCATGTTTATATTAGATTTAGAATTAGTCCCAATTAAGTACAGTGATTAGTTATTATATACTTAATGTTTTTTATACTTTGTAGCCTTCAGAAAGTTTACATCAGGCCTTTTAGATAAGCCCTTAGAAAGTTTTAATCAATGTTAAAAAAATTATTGTTTTTAATGTAGTGCTGAGAAAGTTCAAGAAATTATTACTTGGCTAAAGGGACATCCTGTCAGTACTTTGTCTCGTTCTTCTTGTGATTTACAAATTCTGGATGCAGCTATTGTTGAGAAAATTGAGGAAGAAGTCGAAAAGTGCAAGGTACTAATTTTTAATAATCAAGATTATAGATGAGATTTAAGTTAAATGAACTATATATTATTCTACAAATAACTTATTTGTTTCAACCAAATAAAACATATACTCATTGATTTCTAATTTATGTAAAATGATCCTATAATAAAATAAAATGTTCCAGCCATTTCCAGTGACCATTAATAAGTTTTTCTGAATAAATATAAATGCACTTCAGTGTACAAAAGCTATAGCATATAAATTTCATGTCTTGTAGTGTATCCACTCTTAAGTCTCTTTTTCCATCTGCGTCATTTCTGGATTTCTATCTTTGATACCACTCATTCTTTCCTCCATCTGGTCAGCTCTATTTCCTAAGCTCGCTCATTCATTCTTAATCTTTTTAATTGAGTTCTTCAGCTCCAGAATTTCTCTTTGATTTTTTTTTTTAGTCTGTGTGTTTCAGTCTCTTTGGTAAAGTACTCCTTTGTTTGTTGATTTTATTTATGAGTTCATTAAACTGCCTGTCAGTTTTCTTGCATCTTGTTGAGCTTTATGAGAACTGCAATCTTGAATTCTCTGTCATTTAAATCACATATTTCCATGTGTTTATTTTCTGGAGAGTTTTCATTTTTGTTCTGAGCTGCCTTGTTACCTTGGTTATTCGTGATATTTGATGGATTATTCCTCTGCCTAGGCATTTATTGGAATAAACTCTGCTTTTTTAAAAAAAGTGATACTTCTCTATTTAGGGTGATAAAAAGAGGTCTTTCTTTTGTTTCCCAGTAGGTGGCACTAAAGAACAAGTTTTTCATTTTCTCTTGCACTGTTTTAGCTTCTCAGATCTCTGCAGGGCAATGAAAAATGCCCTGTATTCCTTGGAGAGGTGGGCATCTCCTCTGTGACCAGGTCGCCTTGGTCTCAGGGCATAACCCCCAAGGGGGAAGGTGGTAGGTGATGGGGTTCTGAGCCTGTGAAATCCAGAGCTGCCCCTGCAGCCCAATGCTGCCTGCAGTGCTGCACTGTCCCCTGAGATCAGCTGGGATGGGTGGGGCGGGGTGGGTTGTGAGCTGGCTTGTGTGTTTGCAGTTTTGTTCTCCTCCCAGTAATGGTGACTGCCAGACCTCAACTGCCTCGCCTCTGGACCTCACCCCTAGGATTAGTCACTGGAGAGAAATGCTACTGCCTCTCCAGTCCTCAAAGCTGCAGATAGTGTGCAATATAACCCCTACACTCGCTGCTACAGCTTCTTCTAGGGCCCACTGCTAGCTCTGGGAGGGTGAAGGGAGGCATCCAGGCACGTGGCTTTGTTTTTCAGCTGTCACACCTCTGTGCTCCGGCTCTGCCCAGGTCACTGGGCTCAGCTGCAGTGTGTGCTGATCACTCAGGCAGGAATGTTCCTCCTGCGTCTCTGCTCCTCAGGGTTGCAGAGATTGCAACACACTGCAACCTGATTCCTCCCCTCTCCCAAGTCCTGCAGTGAGCTCCGGGCTGTGTCCGCTGCCCTATCTCAGCACTTCCCTCTTCCCTCCTCGCGTTCACCCCTGTTCACCCACCTTCATATGTTTCATTGTGCAGATCTCTCAGTTGTGTTTGTAGCAGGGAGTCCTTAAATGAATTCTAGCTGTTCAACTTGTAACTTCAAGGGGAGACACCAAGCAACCACTCACGCTGCCATGCTTCTGACTTCATTCCTTGTAGTGTTTCTTTTTTGTTTTTTTCCACTTTTTTTTTTTTTTTTTTTTTTTTTTTAGCTGAGCCATCCCGCCACCTGTTGGCAGCTCACGGCTGCTCAGCTCGGGCTGACTCGAACCGCTGTTGCTCAGAGCTCAAACTCTTGAGCGAGCTCTTAACCAACTGAGCCACTCGGCCGGCCCTTCCTTGTAGTGTTTCTAATTTTAGAAATTAATATTTTGTGATTCTACTCAAAATAGAAAGTTTTTGATTGAGAGATAAGGTTAATCCCTATTACTTGCTATTCTAAGTTCTTTAAAGACACAGTTCATCTTTTTATAGAACATAAAAATTTTATTAACTTTTACAGAATTACTTCTAAAATGTACTTTCTCACTCACAAACTCATTTAGCTACTAAATATTTTTTAAATCCCACTTAATCTTTCCTATTTTGTATATCTTGATTTTAAAAAGCAGTAACTTTCTGTATAGGCATAACTATTTTATCTATTTTTGATCCCCTACCTTGATGTAATAGAAAATGGATTAACTATTTCTTTTTTTAACTCTTGATTTCATATTCCACACATTTGCCTTTTTATAAAAATGATACTGCTTTTTTAACACAGTGCTCTAATAACAGAGTAAGTCAAGACTGGGCTCTAAAGCCATCTTAGTACCCCTATCCCTCTTTCAATACTTATAACCTTAGGCAAGATACTTAACCTCCATGACTTTGTTTCCTCATTGGTAAAACGATAATAAAATAGTACGTACCACTTAGAGTCATCAAAAGGATTAACTGAGCTGATACATGTAAATTCCTCTTATAATAATAATGCCTAGCTATTATTAATGCCTAATGATGCTTGGCTAATATTATTATTATTTTTTTATTTATTTTTATTTGAATTCTCTTCTCACATACTCAAGAGCTGTGATTACAGTCTGGGAAATCACCATAGATGACTATCTCTTAAGGAAAAAAATATAAGGCTCAGAGCTAAGAGTTTCATCTTTTGAAAGGTCATTGATACTCAACTGAGGATAGAACGCCTGCATTTATTTTTAATTGTCTTTCAATGTAGAGTAAAATCTTATGTCCAACATTGTTTTTGAACTGAGTTTTATACTTATCAAAAGTTTATAACTTTAAGCCCCCCCCCCCAACTTTTATTTTAACCCATTTGGATGCAGAGCTTTCTAAAATGTTTTTTTTTTACTTTACTTTTTTTTTTACTTTACATTTTTCACTTTACAAACAGAAGATACATGTACAAAGTTGTAGTCTAATGTTTTGATTACAACATTTTTAAAATGTGTGTGCATATAAATAAGACAAATTTTTTAAAAACCTGTTAATGTGTCAAGGAGGTACAGTTATAAGTAATTGCCTTTCCTTTTAGTGCTATAATGTTATTAGGGTAATAAAGAAAAGGAGAAAAAAACTAAAAACAAACAGCATTCTGAACATAATTTAAGCTTTTCTTTATAATGCAGGGTCATCATTAAAAGTATCAGTTTTGGGTCGGCCGAGTGGCTCAGTTGGTTAAGAGCTCCCTCAAGAGTTTGAGCTCTGAGCAACAGCAGTTCGAGTCACTGCCCGAGCTGAGCAGCCACTGACAACAAGTGACAGGATGGCTCAGCTAAAAAAAAAAAAAAAGAAGAAAAAAAAAAGTATCCGTTTTATTGGAAAGTGATTCCCAAACTAAGCTACTGGAGGAGCTTTGTAAAAAACACGCATTCTGGATTCTACTTCTACAGCATTACTTCTCAAACTTTAATGTGCAGATGTATCATTGGAGGATCTTGTTAAAATATAGATTCTGATTCAGTAGCTTTGGGAGTAGGCTTGAGATTTTGCATTTCTAACAAGCTTGCAGGTGGTCACATTTTGAATAGCGGCCCTAGGACTTATTTAGTAGTTGTGGGCTGGGCGTATTGTGAAAATTCCCTGATGTATTAATTTGCCTAATAAATCAGGTTTAGAAGTGACCCCTTCTATAATGTGATAATGCCTAGGAATATATTAGATCATATGAGTTATTTTTTTATATGGACTTCTTCAGGCACAGTGCTTGGGTCATTTTTTTAAATTAAAAAAAAAATTTTCAACTGCAGTTGACATTCAATATTACATTAATTTCAGGTGTATAGTACAGTGGCTAGACATTCATATAACTTATGAAGTGATTCGATTCCCCCCAAAAAGTCTAGTACCTACCTGGCACCATACATATTTATTATATTATTGGCTATATTCCTTATAATGTACGTAACATCCCATGATTATCTTGTAACTGCCAATTTGTACTTCTTAATCCCTCCCCCTTTTCACACATCCCCCCCAACACCCCTCCCATCTGGCAATTATCAGTTTGTTCTCTGTATCTGCAATTTTTTCTGTTTTGATTATTCATTTATTTTGTTTTTTAGATTCTACATATAAGTGACATCATATGATATTTGTCTTTCTCAGTCTGACTTATTTCACTTAGCATAATACCCTCTAGGTCCATCCATGTTGTCACAACTGGTAAGATTTCATTCTTTTTTTATGGCCAAGTAATATTCCATTGCATATATTTACCACATTTTCTTTATTCAATCGTCTATTGATGAGCACTGGGGTTGCTTCCGTATCTTGACTATTGTATATGAAATGTCTTTCTTCGTCTCTTATTATAATCTTTGTTTTAAAGTCTATTTTGTCTGGTATAAGTATTACTACCCCAGTTTTTTTTTAATTTCCATTTGCATGAAATTTCTTTTTCCACCCCTTTCAGTCTGATTGTGTCTTTCAATCTGAAGTGAGTCTCTTGTAGGCAACATATGTAAGGGTTTTGTTTTCTCCTCCATTCAGCCACCCTGTGTCTTCTTGTTTGGAGCATTTAATCCATTTACAGTTGAAGTAATTATCGATAGGTATATAGTTATTGCCATTTTATTATTCATATTTTTATCATGTTTTCTTCTCTGTAAAGAAGACCCTCTAAGATTCCTTTTGGTTTGGTGGTGATGAACTCCTTCAGCTTTTTCTTGTCTGGGAAGCTCTTTATCTTCCCTTTGATTCTAAATGCTGGGTAGAGTAATCTTGCAAGTCCTTGCTTTCCACCACTTTGAATATTTCATGCCAATGCCTTCTGGCTTGCAAGGGTTTCTGTTGAGAAATCAGCTGACAGTCTTATGGGAGCTCGCGTGTACGTAACTGCTTTTCTCTTACTGCTTTTAAGATTCTCTCTTTGTCTTTAACCTTTGGCATTTTAATATGATGTGTTTTGGTGTGAGACTCTTCGGGTTCATCTTTTTTGGGACTGTCTGCACTATCTGGACTCGTGTGTCTGCTTCCTCCCTAGTAAAGGAAGTTTTCAGTCATTATTTCTTCAAGTAGGTTTTAAGTCCTTTCCTCTCTCTTTCCTCTTTTTGGTACCCCTATGATGTGAATGTTGTTTGGCTTGAAGTCCCAGAGGTCCCTTAAACTCTTAAACTATCCTCTTTTAATTAATTAATTTATTTATTTATTTATTCATTTTTTCTGTTCCAATTGGCTGTTTTCTGCTACCATGTCTTCCAAATTGCTGATTTGATTCTGTGCTTTGTCTAGTCTGCTGTTGATTCCCTCTAATGTATCCTTGATTTCAATTATTGTATTTTTAATTTCTGACTGGTTCTTTTTTTATGTGATTTCTATCTCTGTGTAAGTTCTCACTGACTTTATCTATTCTTCCTTTAAGTTCATTGAACATTTTTATAACCAGTATTTTGAACTTTTTATCTGGTAAATTACTTGCCTCCATTTCATTTATTTCTTTTTCTGGAGTTTTGTCCTGTTCTTTCATTTGGGACATTTTTCTTTGTTTCTTCATTTTGGCTGCCTTACTGTGTGTGTTTCTACATATTAGGTAGATCTACTACATCTTTCAGTCTGGGGAGTGTGGCCTTATTTAGTAGGTGTCCTATGGGGCCCAGTGGCACAGTCCCCCTAGTCACCTGAGGCAGGTGCTCCAAGTGTGTCTCTTTTGTGAGTTGTGTATGTCCTGCTGTAGTTGAGCCTTGATTGCTGTTGGCATGTTAGTGAGTGTGATTGACCTTCAAGCCGATTGTTTGTGAACACTGGCTGTGACTACAGTGGACAAGCTATAGTGTGGGGGCTGACCCTACAGAGTAGGATTCACTGTAGCTCAGCTCTGGTGCCTGCTGAGTCCACCCTTTGGCTGTATCAGTTGTGGAGCTAATTGGGTGGTGTTTTCTTATGGTCTAGAGCCAGTCACCAGGTGTGCTGAGTCTGGGGCCTCTTGGGAGGGGCCCCAATGCAGGCCCAGGTAAGCCACTGCCTGTGTCCTGACCTGGGCTGCCTGGTAGGAGCTACAGAGTCATCTGTGGTTGGTAGCTGCCTGTGCTGGAATTGGAGGTACCTGGGAGAGGCTACATTGCGAACCGAGGCCGACTGCTACTAGTGCCAGGAGCTGCTGAACAAGAGGTATGGGCATACTGTGGCCAGCCTTTGCTTGTTTGAGATTTGTGGATCTTTGAGAGATTTTAGGAAAGTCTGCAATGTGGACTGCGGGCGGCAGCTTATCAAGAACAGCTCCTGAAAGACATTAGGACTGGTGCTCAGGTTGGGTAGGGCAGACTCTCAGGGAATCACCAGGGTGGGATGAGTTTGATGGTGACACAGATTTGGCGCCTGCCTGCTTTTGCAGGCTGGGTGGGGTTAGGACTCAGCAAAAGAACAGTGATGCCTGCCAGCAGTTTGTTCCCAGAGAGAGCTGCCCCTATAGCCTTAACCCTGCAGCCAAACAATTTAGTTTCTCCCCATATGTCCCTGGCACGTTTTGAGCTGCTGCCTCAGAGCTAGAACTCAGAGCAAGTGAGTCTGCCAGTGGGTAAGTCCATGCCCAGGCCCTTTAAGAGGAGTGCCTAGGACTCCATGAACCCTTCATCTCACTATGACAGAATCCCCACTGATTTTCACAGCCAGATGTTGTAGGGTCTCCTCTTCCCAGTACTGGTAATCTGGACTGTCAGGCACAGTATGGGACTGGGACCCCTCACTCTTCCGGGGGACCTCTGTAACCAAAGTATCCCTCCCATTTTTTAATCACCAAACATGGGTGTGGGCCCAATCCATTTCACATCTCCATCTCTCCTACCAGTCTCAACGTGGCATCTTCTTTATATCCTTAGCTATAGGAGTCCTGTTCAGCTAGTCTTCATGTGGTTCTCCAGGGTGACTGTTCTTTAATTTAGCTGTAATTTTGATGTGGTCATGGGAGGAGGTGAGCACAGCATTTGCCTCCTTTGCCATCTTGACTGGAAATCTTGGGTCTGCTTTTAAATATAGTTTAAATTTCTTTTATTCTTTCTACTTTCTGCTGTTGTCAGTGGAGACCAATTGTACTCTGTTAGTTCTTGTAGTCTGGAAACATAAACACCTTGTCAGAAACGCCTTCACTTTTCACCCTATTTAAAATTGCAATCTCACCCCACATTGTTGGTCTCCCTTACCTGCTTTATTTTTTCACTATGCTTTTTACCTTCAGACATGCTATATATTTTTCTTATTTTGTTTTTATTATGTTTCCCTCAACTAGAATAAAAGAACAGGTCATTGTTTTATCCCCAACAGCAAAATCAATACATGGTACATAAATGGACTTCAGTAAATATTGTTGAAAGAATAAGTGAAATGCCTCTATAATAAAAGAAAATAGACTCTGTTTATAGGCTTGAACATTTTACAGTGCACAAATACATGAACTCTGTAGTGTGTGGTCTCTGTAGCCTAGGACTGTTTTATGTCCTTTGGTACTTTTTTCCATAAGCTATGTTCTAAAAATAGGCGGTTGCCATATAAGTAAACTGTTTCCACTTTTCTCATTAGGTAAGAATTCACTTTTTTAGAAAATTTAATATCAATGGTAGTTGTTATGGATTGCATTGAATGTAAATTATTCTCTCATTTTTATTAGATAGAACAGGTAATAGTATTCCCATCTTTAAATAGAAGGAAGCTGATGTTCAAGTTAAGTGTGAGTTCCTAGAACTAACAAGTAGCAAAGATAGGACAAAACTCTTCTTCCAGCATTTTTTAGATGATCAAAAAATTCAAACATCAAAGCCTGTTTCACAATAGATTCCAAAAGCAAGAACTGTTAAATGAATGCCACCTTAGTATAATATTTATAGTACAAAACCCACAATGTTGTCATACTTTATACCTTTTTTTAAAAAAAATTTAAGTCTTTCTTGACAATTGTATACAATTCTTTATAGAGGGGAAAAGAGCATTTGAATAGGATAGCATTCACATAAAGTTTAAATAGATAAATCTAATCTTTTGTGTTAGAAGTAAGGTTACATTTGGGAAGGGTAGTGACTGGGAGGGAATACAGGGGGTTCTTATGTTGTGCTTAGTAATGTTCTGCCTCTCTTGAACTAGGTGTGGTTATGCTCATACTGTAAAAATTCATCAGTCTGTATACTTATAATTTTGCATTTTTCCATGCAAATTTTTACTTCCATCCTTCCATCCATACTTTAATTTTTTTACTTAAAGTAAAAAATACTTTAAGAATTTATTATTCCTCCTTGCTGCATCTGAAGAATTTAAAATATTTTTTTAATTTCTCATTTCATTTGCCTTCTTGAAATTTAGACAAGTCCAAGTACTGAATAATAAATTTTATAATTTAATTTTTTTTAATATTTAAATTTTTTTTCTTTCCTCAGCAAAGAAAGAATAATAAGAAGGTACGAGTGACAGTAAAGCCCCATTTGCTGTACAGAGTAAGTTTCCTGTTAAAGAATTCAAAGTTGTTTTTATTTTGAAAATATAGAAAAGACAAAACGTTTTCAATGTATTATTTAAAAACTTTTAAAAATTAGAGTTCATAATAATAATTAAAGCTTTCTTCTCTTCAGCCTTTAGAACAGCAACATGGAGTCATTCCTGATCGGGATGCAGAATTTCGTCTCTTTGACCGTGTTGTAAATGTGAGAGAGAACTTTTCGGTTCCAGTTGGACTTCGGGGCACCATCATAGGAATTAAAGGGGGTAATATCTCAGTTGACATGTCTTCAACTGCTTTTATATTGTAAAGTAAAACACAAATTTCTTTGTCACATCTAAACAGAGAATGACTTAAAATTGGTACAAAACCTAAATCCTCTTATGTTTTACTTAATTTTTTTTTTTTTTGGTTTAGTTTTCAGAGAAAATTCTCCTTTTCTGTCTTGTGTAATCAATCATCTAGGAAGTGAGTAAAAGAACGGGAAGTTGAGTAAGGGCTGCTGAGAATTTGGTAGCTTATATATATCACATTAAAGTTATACAAGACCTTGGCAAGTAGACATGTATTTTCATGAAACTGAGAGAAAAGTATCATACTTCTCCTTACGTAGGCTTTCATCTAATCTTGCTCAGAACTTTACCTTAATTGTCATTGTACTGTCTTGATTTCTGTGGAGAAATAAACATGAAGTATGAGCTTATTTACAGTTAAAAGATTTGAATTAAATGTGCATATTAATTTGAATTTTATGAATACAGCTAGGTTATGTATACAAAACCGACCTTTCAATCTGTTGCACAAGCATAGTTAACACTACTGTACTATATGCGTAAAAATGGTTAAGATGGTAAGTTTTATGTCGTGTTTTTTACAAAAAAAGAAAAATGAGAGAGTGGAGAGAAAAGGGAAGAAGGACTAAGCATCTGAATGTGCCTCCAAGGGAAGCCTACAGTGGGCATCTTTGCTGCATAGATTCCAAAGAAAGTCAACCTGGCAGCAAATAGGGTGCTTAGGGCACGGGTTGCTGGCATCACGTCCCTCCACGTCCTAGCCCAGCCTTGCTCTCACTGTCTGGGAAGGAGGACAGCAGGAGGCCCTGAGCCAAAAACTGCCTATTTAGTACCAGCAGTGAGCTGGGTATCTTTACATTTTGCATTTAACCCACACTACCCCTGAAAGGCAGGGCTAAGTAACTCACCCCCCTTTACAGAGATAAGTGGTAGAGCTGGGTTTGAATTCTCACCTGATTCTTACCAAATTTTGAGCAGTGATTCTCCACATTTTCCATCTTCACATCCTCTTGGGGTCTCCCCTGCTTACATGACTCTAAAAGAGAATTTTCTTCTCTCTCTCTCTCTTTTTTTAACTTTCTTGGATATATTTCTGGCTGCTGGAAAGGGAGAAAGGAGGGTCTGGACTCTAGGTGTGGTAAGGGTCCAATGGGTGTCTGAAGCAACCCTCCTGCTGCTATAGCTCGACCCCCACATCACCTGTTTAGATATTGAGCGTATTGCATTGTACTGGTTAGGTTGTACTGTAAGGCCTTAGGACTGATGACAGAAGTTTCCTTTCTCCTGACGGTTTCTATTGTAATAGTGATTGCGTGGCATTTTGTCATAAGGATTTTAAAGCTACACCTACCCTGAGTGAAGAAGAGCTCTGTCATTGATTAGCCCTGTCTGCCATGGCCATGGACTAGAAAAGAGAATGTTTGCCAGTACAGCACTCAGCTAAGTCCTCATGTGCTCAGTTATCTCTAGTAAGGGAGTGAACAGGTGCCCATGATCTTCTTAGGAAGTGGCCCTTCCCTCAGACAGGAAATGGGAACCTAGAAAGTGAGCCTTATCAATCCTTTAGAGGAGATACTCCTGCCTGTCCTTGAGCCTCACTTTTTCGGGTTTAGATTTTAGGTAAAAGTGTCAGGTTGAAAGGTACAGCTGGACAATGGAGAATGGGTGATTTTTGCAGGTCTGGTTTCAGCTGGGCAATGAGGAACTAGGGATGGGGGAGACATCCCCAGCAGCTAGCATCGTATCATAAATTGCACTATTCAGGGTTCTCTAGAGAAACAGAACCAGTATAATGCAAAGGTGGCAGTGTGGAAAGCGGAGAAAAAGAGAGAAGTCAATTCTGAGGTTATGTGATTTGGGCTTAGAATTCAAAACATTATAGCTAATTACTTCACTTTATCTTGGTGTTATGGGTAAATTTAATCTTTCCAGATACATCACATCATGCTCTCTGACAAGCTGATTCTTCTCTGCTCCTAAGTTTCTTGCACCACAGAGTTTCTCATGAGTTTTATGTCAGTTATGACCATCCGTAATCTACCATGTCGTCTCAGCCAGAGTCTTGTAGTCATCTTGGGCATCTCCACCTTTTTATCTACACAGGTCACCAACTCGTGCCACTTCTATCTAATAGTATATTCATCTTTCCATTCTAGTCCCCTCATTGCTGCCATGTTTTCAAATCTTCTCTGTCTTCTGTCTGTCTTATTGGAAGACCTTCTAAACTGCAAACTCTAAAGTTATGTCTTTTATTAACTCTCTTATTATGAATAATCTCAAACATATAAAAAACAGAGAAAAAAGTATAATTAATCCCCCAGAACATCCAATTTAAAATGTTATTTTACTTTAATACCAGTAAGGTAATCTGTGAGCTTATTTACTTTTCATTTGCTGTCTGTGTTCCCCCACACCATTTTTTCATAGTTATAATGCTTCTTATATTCCAAAAACTCATGCTGATTTTTCATTATATGGTTTTTAAAAATCTCTCTCTCTCTTAACAGCTAATAGAGAAGCTGATGTACTATTTGAAGTATTATTTGATGAGGAGTTTCCCGGAGGCTTAACAATCAGGTGTGTACTTCCAGATGATAATTATACTTTTTGAGTATGTCCATGTGGCCAGTGCCTTTTCATTACTTCTTGATTTGTCCACGATTTGACTTCATATTATATACAAGACATCATATTGCTACTATGGATGTAACAGTGAATAAGACAGACATGTTTCCTACCTTCATGGACCCTTCGTTCTAGTGTGGGAGATAATCAACGATTACAGTATTAATTATTTCATTACATTGGAACAAGTGCTGGGATGGAGAATTTCAGGTTTCTTTAATAGCATGACCTATCCTTACAGTTCCAGAAAGGCTTTCTTGAGGAAGTGATATTTAAGATGGAACTTGAAGAATGAATATTAGTTTAGGGAAAAAGGGAGGAAGAGTGACGAGTAGTCAGGAAGAAGGAATAGCATATGCAACAAAGAACATTTTTACTCATTTAAAATAACTAAAAGAATGCAAGTGTTTCTGAACTTCAGTAACTAAGATGAGAGTGAGAGAGAAAAGCGAGGGCTACACTGTGCAGAAACTTGTAAGCCAACTTTCAGGACATGTTAAGATCTTGGGAGCTTGATGTTCATCCTTAGAGCAGTGCGAAGCCATCAAAATCAGAGATGTGGCATTATCCCATTTGTATTTTTAATGGTTAAATAACTTGAGGAATAGACACATTCTTTGAATTCAGTGACCTGTTAAGTCTTCATCATCTGTTTTAGTGGAGCTCTGGGTACTCAAACTAGGTCGTTGTGGTTTGTGGTATAAATGGCAAGTATAACAATAGAGGCAAGAGACTGAGCTGACCCTTGAGAAGTTTGACTATGAAGGGGAGAGGTTAGGAGGTAGAAGGAAGAGGATTGGATTATTTTCTGTTTTTTATTTAATTTTTAAATTTGTTTCATTTAATTTTTATTTTGTTAAACTTATTGAGTAACATTGGATAATAACATTGTTTCAGGTATACAACTTTATAATACAGTATCTTCATACTCCATTGTGTGTTCACCACCCAGTCTAGTCTTCTTCTTTTTCTTTTTCCTTTTATTTGTTTTGCACGTAGCTTTCCAAATTTCCCAGCAACCATTTATTGAAGAAGCTTCCTTTTCTCTATTGTATGTTTTTGGCTCCTTTGTGGAATATTATCTGTCCATATATATGTGGGTTTATTTCTCTGTTCTCAATTTTATTCCTTTGGTCTGTGTGTCTGTTTTTCTGCCAATACCATGTTGTTTTGATTATTGTCATTTTGTAGTATAAATTGAAGCTAGGGAGTGTGATGCCTCTGACCTTGATCTCTTTTTCTCAGGATTGCTTTGGTTATTCAGGGTCTTTTGTGGTTCCATACAAATCTGATGATTTTTTGTTCTATTTCTTTAAAAAATGCCATTGGGATTTTGATGGGGATTGCATTAAAGCTGTATATTGCTTTGGTAATATGGCCATTTTAACTCTGTTAATTCTTCCAATCCATGAACATGGAACATCTTTCCATTTCTTTGTATCTCCTTCAATTTCTTTTAATAATGTCTTATAGTTTTCAGTGTATATGTTTTTCACTTCCTTTGTTAAGTTTATTCCTAAGTATTTATTCTTTTTGTTTCAATTGCAAAGGAATTGTTTTCTTCATTTATTTTTCTGAAATTTCATTGTTAGTATATAGGAACACAATGGATTTTTGTACATTGATTTTGTATCCTGCAACTTGACTGTAATTGTTTATTGTGTCTAATAGTTTTTTGTTTGGGTCTTTAAGGTTTTCTATCTAAAGGATCATGACATCTGCAAAAAGTGACAATTTGACTTCTTCATTTCCAATTTGGATGCCTTTTATTTCATTCTCTTGCCTGATTGCTCTGGCTAGGATTTCCAGCACTATGTTGAATAATAGTGCCGAGAGGGGGCATCCCTGTCTTGATCCTGAAGTAGAGGGAAAGCTTTCAGTTTTTCACCATAGAGTATGATATTAGCTGAGGGTTTGTTGTATATGGCCTTTATTATATTGAGAAACTTTCCTTCAGTACCCACTTTGTTAAGTGTTTTAATCATAAATGCATGTTATATCTTGTCAGTTGCTTTTTCTGCATGTATTGATATGATCATATGATTTTTATCTTTTGTTTGTATGGTATATCACATTGATTTGCATATGTTGAACCATCCTTCATAGATGCCCCTGGAATAAACCCGATTCAGTTATACTGTATAGTCTTTGTAATGTATTGGATTTGCTAGTATTTTGTTTAGGATTTTTACTTCTGTATTCATCAGCGATATTGGTCTGTAGTTTTCTTGTATTATCCTTACCAGGTTTTGGTGTCAAGGTAATGTCCTCATACAATGAGTTAGGAAGTATTGCCTCATTTTCAATTTTTAGAAGAGTTTGAGGAGAACTGGTATTAAATCATCTTTGAATGTTTGATAGAATTCACTAGTGAAGCCATCTCTGGTCCTGGGACTTTTGTTTTTCAGGAGATTTTGGATGACTGATTCAATGTCCTTACCTGTTGATCTATTTATATTTTCCAGGGTTTTTGTGATTCAGTCTAGGAAGGTTATATATTTGTAAGAATTTGTCTTTTTCTTCTAGGTTATTGACTTTGGTGGCATATATCCTTTATAGTGTTCTCATATAATCCTTTCTATTTCTGTGGTATCCATGGTAACTTCTCTTTCATTTCTGATTTTATTTCTGTCATTTCTCTTTTTTCCTTAGTGAGCCTAGCCAAGGGTTTGCCGAATTTTATTAATCTTTTCAAGACTAGCTTTTTGTTGCATTATTTTTCCTATTGTTTTTTATTCTCTATTTCACTTAATTCTGCTCTAATTTTTATTATTTTCTTTTTTCTCCTGACTGGGTTTCATCTGTTCTTTTTTTAGTTATTTAAGATACAATGTTAGGTTTTCTATTTGGGATTTTTCTTATTTCTTGAGCTATGCCTATAATTATATAAATTTCTCTTTTATTACTGCTGTTGCAGTATCCCAATAATTTTATTTTTATTTATTTATTTATATTTTTAATTGGGAATTGGGAGAGGGGAACAATGTTGAGGAATTGAGAAGGGAGACCAGCCAAGCTGTTGCTCTTCAATCTTAGTTGTGGAGGGTGCCAGTCGCCATCTGGCTGCCCGTCAGCAGCTCGTGGCCTCTAAGCTCAAGGTGCTATGTTACAGTCTTAGTTGCGGGTGGGTGTAGCCACCATCCCATGTGGGAGTCGAACCAGCAGCCTTGTTGTTAAGAGTGCACGCTGTATCCACTAAGCCATTCGGGTGGCGCTCAGCTCAAGATGCTCAGTTCAGTCTTAGTTGCGGGCAAGCGTAGCCCACCATCAAACAGGCAGTCTTGTTGTTAGGAGCACATACTCTCACCAGCTGAGCCAGCCTACTACCTGTTGGCAGCTCAGCTCGGGCACAGCATCACTGGCCCATGTGAGAATCGAACCAGCAGCCCTGTTGCTCAGAGCTTGCACTCTTAAGCTAACTCTTAACCAACTGAGCCACTCAGCCGGCCCTAATAATTTTGATATATTGTATTTTTCTTATTTGTTTTTATGTATCTTTCGATCTATCCTTTTAATTCTTTGACCCAGGTTTTTTTTTTTTTTTTAGTAGCATGTTGTTTAATATCCACAGATTTCTGGTTTTTCCCACTTTCTTTTTGCAGTTTATCTCCATTTTCAAAGCATTGTGGTTAGAAAATATGGTTGGAATGATTTCAATCTTCTTAAATTTGCTAAGGCTAGTTTTGTGTTTCAACATATGGTCTATCCTTGAGATTGTTCCATGTAAACTGGAGAAGAATGTATAATCTGGTCTTCTGGGATGAATGGCCCTGTTAATGTCCATTATGTCCATTTGGTCTAATGTGTCACTTAAGGCTGATATTTCCTTTTTGATTTTCTGTTTGGATGATCTGTCCATAGCTGTCAATGGCGTATTTAGGTAGCCTACTATAATCGTGTTTCAGTCAGTTTCTCCCTTTAGTTCTGTTAGTAGTTGCTTTATATAGTTTGGTGCTCCCTGATTGGGAGAATATATTTTGATAAGTGTTATGTCTTCTTGTATTGGTCCCTTTATCATTATGAAATGTCCATCTTTGTTATTTGCTACCTTTGTATCTTGAAGTCAGATGTATTCTGTCAGATATAAGTATGAGTACGCCTGTTTTTCTCTGGATGCAATTCACTTGGAGTATCATTTCCACCCTTTCACTTTGAGTCTTATATTTGTCCTTGCAGCTGAGATATGTCTTGAAGGCAGCATATGGTTGGGTTTTGTTTTTTGATCCAATGTTCCTTTTTATAGGTGAGTTCAGTCCATTTACATTTAGGAGATTTTTGATATATGAGGATTTCCTATCATTCTATTGTTTTCTCGTAGCCCAGTGTCTCCATTGTTTCTTTGCTTTTGTGTTTCTGTCTGTTATTTGAGTTTGGTGGTATTCTATGATTTTTTTCCCCTCTGTTTCCTTTTTTTTATGTTAGGTATCTCCGTTCTGGATTTTTTTTGTTTTTGTTACCATTATGTTTATCTAAAAAAAAACATTCATATATACAGTAGTCTTTTTTCTTTTCTTGCAACTTATCGCAATTCCCCTTTGCAGCTTCAGACCTTTACTCCCTCCCCTTTTTTGTTTTTGTTATCACACATTACTCTAGTTATGCTGTGAGTTCATTTCTGAGTTGCAGTAGCTAATAATCGTGTACTTCCGTGTTTCTTTTTGGTTGTATTTCCTTTACCTTTTATGTTATATTTAAGTGTATGGTGCCCTATTCTGAGTAGTGGTTGCCATTTCCTGCTTCTGTCTGTCTGCTAGTTATCTTACTCATCATTTTGTGTCCTTTTGTCTTTGTGTTTCAGGTAGAATAACTCCCTTCATTATTTCGCATAATACAGGCCTAGTGGTGGAAAATTCCTTCAGGTTCTGTATGTCCAAAAAGGTCTTTATAATTCGTTTATATCTAAAGGATAACTTTGCTGGATATATTATTCTTGGCTGGTAATTTCTGTCTTT